ACTTAATATATACAGCAAGTTCTGCAGCCTGTACCACGGACGTAGGGAGGGGGAGGGGCGGTACGGTTACCCCATGCACATCTTGCTCCTTGCCGAGCCCGTGTCTTTGATGCACCGACCCAAACAGCAGCTGCTCACATACCGGAAACCCAAAACGCGTGCTGGCAGAGATCCCACGGTAGCAGAAATACCTCCGCAGCTGAGCTCCACATATTGCCGAAGCTCCAGCTGCAGCCGTAGACGCCTCATCAGTGTGGCGCTGCGTCGCACTCCTAGTGTGAACCAGATAGGGCAAGACGGCCAGCAGTACCTGCACTTTGTCCCGCTGCTCGCAATTGCTGAGGTCTCGCAGTAGAGGCTGTGTGACTGGTCTGTGCCAGGGAATCAGTTCGGTGTACCTCACGGCCTCGAAGTTTCCCGCTGAGATGGCGAAGACCCTGGGCTGAAGAAGACCCTCGTTTGCTGCTCACGAGCGGCGCGGCGATCGGAACCGCCTGTTCGCGGACCATGCAGTTCTCATCTCACACCATGTCCAGCAACAGCCGTTCCGGACGGACCCAGCACCCGATAGGCTGGAGGACTGGCTGCACCGTGGCCTATGTGTGCTGCGGCAGGTCGCGGAGCAGCGCGATGCTCTGGCACAAGTCCGCTCTAGCACAAGTATATCCGCTGCTTTGCCGGATGGCGGTCCATACCGACAGATAGTGGCCGACCACGCACTGGACGAGGCCCTTGAGAGCGTTGCTGGAGGTTTCGGTAAAGATGAGAACCAGGAGCAGACGCCTCTTTAGTGTGTGTAATTATGCCGATATCCAGAGTCCTTAAATGCGACGGAATATACATCAACAAATATGCTAGTAGGCATGAACCAATCAGCAAATGATACGAGATACTACGGCACAAGGTATGATAATAAGTAAATGCTCAACAGTGATATTTGCTGAACTTTAAATACTCATTGCCATAAATGCGAAGACAACGCGTTTTTATGTTTATCTGACATGGTCGATGGTCGGATTCGCCGCTGGGCTGCCACGTTTCGGACGGAGCCGTTTTGAACGCCGGAGGCCAGAAGGTACAGCAGCTGCTGGTTGGTGCTCAGCTGCTGAATCAGGTCGACCAGCAGGTTTGGCACGTGCCCCGACCTAGGCTTGAATGCCACAACGTCCCTCTCCCAGACCTCTCCGGCACAGGTCTTGCCGATGGGTCCAGAAAAATTCGATCCCATGGTCGTGCCGTCCAAGCTCAGCAGCAGATGGAGGAGGTTCAGCTCGTTGCTGTGCAGCTGGCAGATAAACCAGTGTACGGGTGACTCGGTGGCCAGCTCAAACAGCCGGAACACGTCGCCTATCGTTTCGGTGTTAACGGCTGTGCGATCGCAGCCGGGCACATTGATGCGACTGTCGCACTGCGGGCTCACGGAGTGTAACTCGTTGAACAAGTGCAGGGCGGCCGAACTCGGACGTAAAATGAGTCATGTAGCGGCTGCCTGGCTGAGTGACAACAACCACGTGTTTTTCGACGGCACTTGTCTTTCTCCGTGCGGCTCATGTAGCTGCTGCCTTCGCGGCCGCCGGAGTAGAGGATGGTCAAACCTGACCTGTGGATTGCTTCAAATTTTTAATGAGCCGTCTCCTTTGCACTCTGTCTCTTGCGCAGCACTTCTTAGGATCTGCGATATTTGATTTCAAGTAGCCTGTCCGTCTCCGCTGTCTTGTTGAAAGGCGTTGATGATAGCAGCAGCGGCCTGGTTCGAGCGACCGTAGCTGTCAACCGTCAGGGCGGTGTTAGTCAGATCGTTGACGTTATAATCTACAGTGACAGTGGTCTCAACCGGAACGAACAATCGGCGTCGTCTCCCCCTTCCACCATGTACGGAAACGTAAGAATCCGTGCTCTCGGCTGACTCACCAGCGCTGAGACCACTTGGTCCGGAGCAGGCTCGGGGTCAGCACTAGTAGCCAGCGCTGGCTCAGCAGGCGACGAGGACACGGCAGTCGGCGGGGAAAGCAACTCAGGTTCAGCAGCAGGCACCGCCTCACTGGCGGCCGAGCCACGACGCCCCTGGAGTTGTCTGGCTATCCTCCGCAACTCGTGAGCCTCCCTGGTCACAATTGTATCCCGGTCGTATGACCCCAGGGTAAGCTTCCGGTGCCTGCACTGGTCCTTCATGGCAGCCTCCTCCTGATACACTGTGTAAACAATGGGGCATGGAGAGCCGCGCGGAGACTTGCACCTGCATTTTGCGACATTGAGAAGCTTCTTAAATTTCGTTGTCGCGGCGTTGCTGTGTCTCTTTCTTTTTTTCTTTGATTTCTTGGTGATAGCTCTGTTGGGATGATATCAATCCCTCTCGATCAATTTTGTCACACATTTTAGACCATGAACAGGGATCGCTTCGTTGGTCTACAGTACCCCGATTTCTACCGTCGCGGTCTTGAAGATGGCATTAGTGAGAGTGCTCTTGGATTACCCCAGCCACTTGCTGTAGCTCAATGCTTTCCGTAGTCGGCAGTTGGTGGTGGAACAGTAGAGCCGGATGGCCTATCATTAATTGTTTCGTACGCGACCGTGTAGCCTTTGGCATGCTTATGCAAGTAATTGTTCGAAAGAAATGTTTCAGCACCGGCAAAACTAAACTAATAAACCAATAACAAATAAAGCAATAATGTATAACTAATAAAGTAATAACGAACTTGCACCTAACCCGGCTTGCTGAAGCATTCTCATAGCTGCACAGCTTTGGGTTTTACCAAGAATTAATTTTCTTTACTAAAAGGTCAGCTTAAAAGCTGTTTGGCAATATTTTGCTGGCGGTCTTAATGATATCTATTTCATGCTTAATCCACCAAGTACCTATGTCAAGTATATGATAACGTCATTTAATCCTGCCATGTCATTAGCCGTGCGGCGATGAAGGCCAATAAAACATCAATGTCGTGTCGCTCATATTAGGTATTCGTAAGCACGATTTACAGCTAAAAAGACCGTCAACTGGCTCTCAATCAATGCTGTGCGAGAAACGATGACGTAGCCAAACGACGATGTAGTGAGGAGCATATTTACTAAACGGAGGGATTGTGTTGTCTGGGGCAGCCTCTTCCATTTAAAAGTATACCAATAGTTAGAAGTGAGCTTACTCCATCATATTTCATTCTTGCTTCTGTGTCTTCAAATCTGGAACATTTCCTTTGAGTAGATGCTCCAATAACGTCCAAATGTTTGTATTTCACAAACAAGGGTTTGTGGTGGAGACATGCATTCAGGTGCTCATCTGACCGCTACCCAACTGGCTTCTGCTATCGGGACACTTCGTGCCGAATCATTGCAAACAAGAGCATTTCAGTGATCGTATTTTTCTTGGCAGTAAGCACAAAGATACAATGAGCTGGGACATTCGCGGGGCGTGTCTATAGCGTCACAGATGTCTGGGTGACTTTCAAATAGGCGTCACGAAAAAAGCTACACAAGTTTGCATGCGTCAAGCTTAGAAATAAGAGAGTTGAAAGCCTGACGAAGGACATGACTGTGAACTGCAGGAGATGGTCTTAAAAATGACCGCTCAGTACAAAAAAACGCACACGAATGTGGAATAATCCCTTTAAAAATGTGCATGCCTTTAAAACCTGAGGTTTAGGAGCATTTAAGTTAGTGGACATGACTTTCCACGGCCATGGGAATTGGAGAATACCAACCTCCCACCTTTAAAGGGAATGTTCCACATCTGAAGATATCAAAGCAGGCATGAGATATGATGAAATAAGCTCACTTATAACTATTGGTGTACATTTAATTGGAAAACACTGCTCTAGACAGCACAGTTTCTCTGTTTAGTAGATATGGCGCTCAACATATCGTTGCCTAAATGCGTAATCGCACTTTTCACAACGTTCGTTGATTGAGAGCCAATTGACAGCCGTAATATCTGGAAGTCGTGCCCACTAACACCACATACAAATGGCTCATCAATTGTGTTTTCTCGGCCTTGGTCTCCGCATGGCCAATTGAATGGCAGGGTTTGAATGACGTTATTATGGCGTCATGGATGCCTCATGGCTGATGGCGTCCCCGAAACAGTCCGCACATTTTCGCGGGCGCATAGCTCAAAAGCTAGAGAGGTCTAGCTTTTAAGAAGAGCAGGGTTGTGAAGTGTGACGAATTATCTTCAGTATGACCATGTGAGTTCAAAACTCCACACAAATGTAAAACGCTCCCTTTATCGGCTGCGAATGTGAACGTTTGGCAGCACTGTTGTCTATCGGCACTAACGTTTCCTCGGTAACGAGTACGAGCAACCGCTTATGTGCGATTGCCTCTTTCTAATCAAGAACAAAAGTCGCGTGTCAGTCCACGCCACGCCAGCCGACCGCACGGTGCCATGGCGTGGGAATGCCCTCCCTCCCCGTCCCTGTTAGTCACGTGACCTCCCGGCGCACCTGCGGGCGGGCGTTTGGGCCGCGCCTGCGTCTGGCGACGCCGCCGGCGCTGTGGCCTCTTCGGACGGCAGTGATAGGCTGCCCCGGCTCGCTTGCCGGTCACGGTCGCCTGAGGCCCTGCTCTAGTGGCGTGGCAGAGGGAGCGGCCGCTTACATTCCGGTGGTCGCGCGTATAACTCGGGTGAGAACGGACGCTGTCAACAGGCGTGCGAGGAACATAGGTGTCTGAGCGCTAGTGACTGGGGAAGTGTCGAAGACGATAGGATAGCTTCCCGTTTTAGTCGTAGCTTGCTTCTGGAAGGAGATGCCTACTGTTTGCCATCTTCCGCTATACGGCTTGAACCTGCACATCAGAAGTGCTTTGAAATAGCTGGCAATGTAAGTATTGAGACGAACAGAGCGATGAAGTGGATGAAATGTCCGTCCGCGGTACTTTGTGAGAAACCTCCCAACGAGGGGAATAAATCCTTCAACTGACAACTTCAAGCGGTGCGTGCCAAGCAACCTTCTGCCCATTTCATCCCGACTTTATCCTTTGACAGGTGCTGCAGTATGGTGTGCGGTATGTCCAGCCAGTGGCTGCTGCTTCTCTTCGGTGCTCTTTGGCGACCGACAGGTTAGTTCACCATTGCCTTCAACATTAAGTTCTTGCTGTTTCCGCCACCATGAAATCGGTTTATTAACGGCAAAGTTTAATGTTTGGCGGGCTGTTGAGTCCCTCTGACCCGCGACCGTTAGCAGACCGCGGTTAGTTGGAAGATAAGTAAGTCACCGATCTGATGTGACGGATGCTTGGAGCTTGAGCGATATTAGCGGCATTCGTTCAGCCTTGTATTAACGGGACTTCTGAATTCATGGCAGGCCGTTTCAAAGTCACGTAGCTCAGTCGCCTATGATAAGTTTTGTGATTAGAACATGACCGGGTAAACACACGTCAGGTGAACAACGAATTGAACCGACGATTGTCACTGAAGAGCATATGAAATTAGAAGCCTTTGTGAAACTTACACAGAAGTCGATGAGCCGTGTAATGAACTGAATGCATTACCTGATGGAAACAAGAGGCGCCTTATGTTCCACATGTTTTGCATTTTGAGTAGGGAGATCTTTTTCCCAACATTTATCACCGTTACATATACCAGCAGGTACTAAAACACGATGTTGCAAGGAGGTGTCACATATAGTGACAACATTCAGTTTTGTTAAGATGGTCCACGCTGTTTTGAAGAACTTTAACGTTGTGTTGCCAGTCTCTCGTGAGATATCTGGCGATTATGGTCAGAGTAAGGTCTTAAAGTTGACAATGCGGAACATATTACCTGCTGGTCTTGGAATCACCGTCAGGTGGAAAGGCTCAGAAGAACAACGAATAAATGTGCTAAAACGCATCGCTTGCTCCTGCTTTGAACGATATGTTATTTCGACTTCCCTTGACTTGAAGCCTCGGGTAAAAGGCCTCCAAGAAGTTTATTAACCTAACATGACCGGAAAATACATATTTTAGGTCGCAATGAAAAGTTCGTACATGGCAGCAACTTCATGGCTGCGCATTTATTTTGGTGGTCCCTCTCCCCAACCCACAAAAAATCCAAAAATGTTCCAATGGTCTATAGCGGTCCCATTCGAGTAGCGCAATTGTTATTGTTTGGTAAGGCATCATGAGAAAAGTGCATTTTGTAAAGAAAAGGGAATGTTTTGCCGGCATGTCCAAAAAAACAACTCAAGAATTTCCAATTAGTTTGTTGCAGTGTGTACCCAAACATGTCCCGAGCAAAGCTTCCAGGTCACACCCAAAATTAATGGCTTTTGAATACTTTTGAATGATTTTTAACCATTCAGCGTATTCCCGCGCACTATTACGTTGTGTATCGTCACGTATCAAGTCCGATCCAGCTCTGTCCAAGTGCAATCTGGTCCATGGTCGGACCGGGCTATGTCCAGTTCAGCTCAGGTTCAGTCCAGTCCTTGTCTGCAGCCTGGCTCATGATTCGTCCGGTCCATGACAGTTCTGGTACATGTCCGGCAGGACCCAGGTCCAGTCCAGTCCATCGCAGTTCTGGTCATGTCCGTCAGGGCCCAGGTCCAGACCAGGCCATGTCAGTTCTGGTCCAATGCCGTCAGGGTCCAGGTCCAGTCCAGTCTATGGCAGTTCTGGTCCATGTCCGGCGGGACCCAGGTTCAGTCCAGTCCATGGCGGTTCTGGTCCATGTCCGGCGGGACCCAGGTTCAGTCCAGTCCATGGCAGTTCTAGTCCATTGCCGGCAGGGTCCAGGTCCAGTCCAGTCTGTGGCAGTTCTGGTCATGTCCGGCAGGGCCCAGGTCCAGTCCAGTCGTGCAGGCCGATGTCTGGTCCCAGAGTACGTGGCCGGCGTGTCGAGCTACGCCCGTCTGACGGCCGCGTCATGTCGGCCATCTCCAGCCTTGCCCAGCCCTGATATGTGGAGTCGGGTCTGGACAGAACACGGCTGGCCGCGACCTGTCCGACCGTATCTGGACAGGACACGTCCGGCCTTAACGAGTCTGACCTTGTTTGGCCGTGACGTGTTCGACCGTGACGTGTCTGACCTTGTCTGACTGACGTGTTTGACCGCAACCTTCCTGACCTTGTCTGGTTGAGACGTGTTTGACCGTGACCTGTCCGACCGTGCCTGATCGTAACGTTCCTAGCTACGTCGTGTCTGTCCGTGATGTGTCTGGGCGTGTTGTGTCTGTCCGTGATGTGTCTGGCCGTACCTGGCCGACAGGAGGCATTTCCATCGAGACGCCACAGTACGAGCTGCACCGCTACCTCTTCGCCAACTACTCAACCTCGATCCGGCCGATCGCCAGCCACACTACGCCCACCACCGTCGAGTTCGAGGTCTCCATTTACAACCTGATCGACCTGGTGAGGACCGGCCTCTCACCCCTGCCCAGCAGGTGTGCCGTCGCTGACCCGGACAGTGCACGGACCGATCTGGTCTGGTGAGACCGGCCTGATCTTGCCGGAGGAGTCGTAGCTCCTCGCGCCATTTAACATGTGCATTTGGTCAGCGTTTTAATACTGCGTGAGCTCGCCTTTTTTTATTTTCGTAGCAGCTGCAATGATTTTTTATTTTGTTTTCCACGTCTATTTTTTCACTGGGTTGAACATAGTGTTTTTTTAATGTAAGCGCAACAGTCATCATAAGATGGGTGAAAATCTCTAACAAAATCTTCCCAGTACATGTACATGGCACTCATCCAAACTGTACAAATGTCTGCCATTTGAATTATCGAAAATCCCCTGCCTCGTTCAGACGAATTAAAAGTATGTGCCAAGTGATATGTTTTGATGGATTTGAGTTCAGAGTGCTCGGTAAGTGAAACGGGCTGTGTGCACCACGAATTCACTACTCGATTTGCGCCGTTCCTATACAGCGGAAATTGTGGCCGCGTCTTTTCACCAGGCAGTAACTTGCCCGCGTCGTGACCCGTACCCGGTACTGCTGGGTAATGAGCTCGACACCGTAACTTGCCCGCGTCGTGACCCGTACCCGGTACTGCTGGGTAATGAGCTCGACACCGTAACTTGCCCGCGTCGTGACCCGTACCCGGTACTGCTGGGTAATGAGCTCGACACCATAACTTGCCCGCGTCGTGACCCGTACCCGGTACTGCTGGGTAATGAGCTCGACGCCATAACTTGCCCGCGTCGTGACCCGTACCCGGTACTGCTGGGTAATGAGCTCGACACCATAACTTGCCCGCGTCGTGACCCGTACCCGGTACTGCTGGGTAATGAGCTCGACACCGTAACTTGCCCGCGTCGTGACCCGTACCCGGTACTGCTGGGTAATGAGCTCGACACCGTAACTTGCCCGCGTCGTGACCCGTACCCGGTACTGCTGGGTAATGAGCTCGACACCATAACTTGCCCGCGTCGTGACCCGTACCCGGTACTGCTGGGTAATGAGCTCGACACCATAACTTGCCCGCGTCGTGACCCGTACCCGGTACTGCTGGGTAATGAGCTCTACACCGTAACTTGCCCGCGTCGTGACCCGTACCCGGTACTGCTGGGTAATGAGCTCGACATCGCCATAAAGGCGGCAAACAGCCGCGACATCCCTGACTAATCTAATCCTATCCGTGTCGCTTAAAGCTTTCACGATCCTATCCATTTCATTCTAAGGATCCATCCTGACTACTAAGTTATCTCACGACAGCCGTTTTTGTGGCAGATGCCGCGAGATACGTTTAAGATGCAACGCTTGGTTTATCGTTTGGGGTATTGAGCGGTGCAATTTGGCTATCATCAGTGATCGACGCATTGATTGGCCGGACTTAATTGTTTGGCTTACGTCACAGGATTGACGTCTCCGGCACTGCAATAACAACATGTGGTAATTCGCATGCATCTGACATGTGTAGCTCAAACATCATAAATTGAGAAGAGGCACGAGGCCTATATTAATTCCTTCTTGCTCATTGGGTAGTACACTGATGTCGCCTCCGCAACGTCATGGCATTGGGCCTTCTAATAAGGTTTTGCAGTTTGGCTAGAAACGAGTCGAAAATGGTAATTCCGTAGAACCAAGTCCCGCAATATTGAAACGTTGGACATTTGGTCTCTGTCTTCGGCCTTAACGGTCTGTACTCAAGGGCGGTGATAGCAAAGGGATCTAACCGGGTAATTGCCAATCTAATCCAAACAACAAGAGCCAAACGGTGATTATATGTAAACAAGCGTGCCATATTGTTCCAAGTGCTGCTGCCTCTCACAATGATGCCCCCCACAATGATGCCCTCGGCAAGACTCAGAAATCTTTGCAAGGTAACCGTCTGCTTGCGTCCAATTAGCAAGTTTTTAGTGCAAGTTCCAAAATGAACGATGAAATAATGTATCCTCTGTGGCCTGGTCAGGATTGTAGGGAACGTAGTCTTCTGGTTTCTGTAGCGCAAGCCTCAGTATAGCTAATGAAATCGTATGCCTCGTACTGCTTGCGAAGCATTGTCAACGGGTCATATCAGTGGTTTCCTGGTTTGGAGTCGAACGTAACCCCGTGATGTCGTTCAAACGGTTTGTGTAGTTATAACCACCAGTGAAGTTGGTGAGGTCCGAACCCTAGTCACTTCTGAGAGGAATGCACTGCCATCCAACCGATATTGTTGTGCTTTGCTATATCAAGTGACACCAAAACCGACATGGAACCTAGTAACTTTAATGTAGGATGCACCCATGCCACTTGGTGTCTCAAACAGAATGTCCTCTCTGTCATATGTGTGGTATGTTTATCTTAAATAAATAAGTTCTTTCTTCTCTGAAATGCGAGGTTTATGTCTGCCATTACCATGCATACAAAACACTTAAGAAAACTGTGAGCAGGGGATTTATGGGACATCTGTATAAACGAGGCGCTGTGTTAATCGCGAATGAACTAAATGATTTATGGTTTGACAAAGCCAATCATCCCTTCACCCTATCGTCGACTCACCACACCGTCAAGCGGGGCCTCGAGCTAGGCAAAGCGGCTGTTGCATGGAGAACACGAACATCATATCTAAACGTTGAATGCGTTGGCTAAATTCCCGCAATATGTGTATGCTGTCTAAGTACCAAATCGGGTCATGTCGGTTTGGACGAAACGAGCCCAAACGATGTAATCAGCATATTGCGCCGGTACTTGATACCCATTGGGCAAGCATGCCTACGCTGGGGACATTCTAAAGTTGACCACAATGCTGACGAAGGCACAACCCGATGAGCTTGAGTCGCTTCTTTTGGCGTATCGACTGACCGTTCAAACCACAGCATGGGACTTCTACCCAGCATTTATTTCATTGAACTTTCTTTCATAAACATGGCATGTTGTCATTCACGAGGGAGAGAATATTGCGTCATTGAAATAAAGTAATTATTTCGGGAACAGCGGCATAGGTGCGTCCCCATCTAGTGCGCAGCGAGCAAAAAGCTTCGTTGGTGATTGCTACAACACCAAACTGTCAATTTTGTAAATATGGTACATTTAAAATACTTCGACATGTAGTGATAAATTTGCATATGCTAAAACCTTAGCATGAAATAAAGTCAACCATGCTTGACTTGTTAGTGGTTATTTTTCAAATTGAACGTCACATGCTTTGCTCACTTCGTCGCCTCCCGCAAGAGGGGGGGGGGGGGGGGGGGCGGAGGAGAACACTGCGCACCCGGTGTGCTATAACGAGGGTGGAAAACTGGGTGCAGTAAACTCACAAGCGACTTATATTTTTACACGAGTTATTTTTAGATGATTCAGAAGCTCAGAACATCGGTCCAAATGAGGTCAAAGTATGCCTGGTACCTGCGTCTGCGAACTGTCTGGCGGACGGCATACTTGTTTGTGAAGTGACGAGGTGTGAAACATACGACATTTCTAATGATAAGAGAGAGGGCGGAGAGGATGAGGTGTCCCACACCCGTACACCCACACCCTTTTATAGCGGCAGGGGTATAGTTTTGCCAAATGATACGGGGAATTGAGCAGAGAAGAGACTGGTAAAGAATTATTGCGTGTAATTTTTCGGTGGTTTAGAAAGGGGAGATGTAGCACTATCGTACGTATATGCCTGCACTTTCCAAGATTGCTTTACGACATTTCACTGCTAGAGTTGCTAAAAATGGCCGCATGCTGATGCTTGAATGAGTATGGGAACTGCAAGCATGTTACCGACAGCAATGGATCCAGTAATAGGGGCTTACTCTTTTTACGACTCCCACAGAATGAGAAGAATCAGGTGATGACGGTGAATGCAGAGATTATTATGAAGTGGAACGATTCATTCCTGTTCTGGAACCCGGATAACTATGCGGGCATCCAGGATATCCGCGTACCCTGGAAGGATATTTGGACACCAGACGTCGTTCTTTACAATAGGTGAGGCTTCAAATCCTACTTGGTGTGTAAACGGGCTATCGCGTTTTACTAATATGCTATGAACACGTATCTAGCCATTGACATGGTCATAATATCAGCATACCTGTGCCAGTTTCTTATATTCTTTGGAAAGGCCCTGTAGCTGAATGAGTGGCGGACGCGTTGGGTTCTAAATACATCGCCAAGTGGATGTATGGATTGGGAATCCCGTACTCGTATGGCGGCAACCACACGGGCTTACGTACATTGCATAACTTTATAACTCTGCCATTGAATTGTTCACCACGAGCGGCCATGATGCGATGTTGTGTAACCCAGTAAACCCCCAGTTTCATTTAATTAACAGGTTGCAGGCCCTAACAAAATAATTCCGTAGTATAGAGAATTGTTCTGGCAAGATATCAGTTTAAGCAGCAAGGCCTACAGCCGTTTTCAGTCGTGTTTCGATCGGTTGTGATGGTATTCGCGTCTAAATCGATGTAATCGGTTTCATTCGCCTCTAAATCGATTTCAGCGAATCGTTTGGCGCAAACGGGCTTCAGTCCTTATCAAAGTTACTTTATGTGCAAGATGAAATTGTGTGAACCAATCCTACTGACAGACGTGATTCTGCTGTTGAGAGGACTTTGGTAACTTGCATAATTGTATCTGAAAATTATTAAGCGCTTCACCGCCACGGACGCAGATGTCATGACACGGCTGTTACCAAACAAAAACAAAAACATGGGACTACAGTTGAGAGAAAATCCTTCTGTGGGCAAACGTTCCACGTGGCAGGTCTGTTACATACAAAATGCCTTCGGTCAAAGTATGTGGCACGACAATTTAATGCAAGAAAACTCTTGCACAAGACGATTGCTTCGTATAAACCATGTACCCTTACGTGTACGCGACAAAACTGTTACGGACACATAACTTTCGCGCAACATCACCTCCACAGACGAAACGTCCACAGTCGATGTCTTTACGCGGGGAATGATATGCAAAACTCTTATTCGACTTGGCCTAACTTACTTTAGGCCCATTTGTTAGCCCGGGCTAAAACTTAATTGAATTAGCTTAAAGCCAGTTAAGTTAACTTAAGTATTAGACTAACTAAACTTTACCTAGCTTAACGTAACCTAACATAATCTATGCCTAGCCTTCACCCAACGTAGCCCAACGTGAAGCTAGCGTCACCTCACGTCACGTAGCTTTACCTTGTCTCATCTTATCTGTTACTTAACCTAACTCACAGTGAACCGAGTTTATCCTTATTTTGCCTCCAGCTGACGTACCAGCTGTAGCTAGATCTAGACCCTGTTTCATATGTCCTCAAATGAGTTGAATTAGATGACGCAATGCAATTTTGCACAATTTTAGAGTCGACTTCGCGTAAGTTTAATCGCACCACTTATTTCCATTTACTGAGCATTCAGTGCAATCAACCCCACTTTGACTCATTCATATTTTGGCTGCTTCTGACAACAACACTGGCTCAGTCGAACTAAAGCACTCTTCCGGTTTCATCCTATCTTTTTAGGCACCATTATCTTTGTGCATGTCACTATGTTTTCCTAGGATCAATACTGGAAATGGCGTCTGTTTTGTAATGACCAGTGGTAATATAATAATAATGGCAATGTTAATTACAAGAATGGTAACGACGTGGTTTTGGCCATAATAATGGTGCCGGTAGCGGTTTTGATGCTCAGCGGAGGTACAACATCGAGTTTTTGACCGAGGCAGCCGAGTCGTAACGAACTTGGTCTGTAAAAGCTCTGCACACTGTGTGATGCCGGCAGAAGTTTTGTCCTGTGGTTGTGTTGTCCGTAACAGTTAAGACCACGGATGTTATGTCACGCAGAAGCTGTTTCATAGCAGTTCTGCCGTTGGCGGTCTTTGCTGTAGAAGTCGGAACACCGAAGTGTCCGTAAAAACGGTCGCCATAACCGTGAAAAATTATGTGATCCAACGGTGGTGACCGTGTGACGTCATATAGCGCCGGCTCGGCTTACAAATGGGCCATCTACAATACGCTGGCGATCGTGAAGTCGTCCGGGGAGGCGACCACGTGGTGACCGTGTGACGTCATATAGCGCCGACTCGGCTTACGAATGGGCCATCTACAACACGCTGGCGATCGTGAAGTCGTCCGGGGAGGTGACTATGCTGTCGCACGCCATCCTGCGCTCCTCCTGCGAGATCAACATCCGCTACTACCCGTTCGATCAGCAGCTCTGCGTCATGAGCTTCTCCAGCTGGTCGCAGGACATCACCCAGGTCAGTATATCTCGCCAGCGCTGCCGACGTTATCAGTTGGGAACACGAAACAAAGCATCAGTCAGGGTAGGATTTGTGTAGATCGATTTACGGCGAGGCGGGAATTACGCTCGCCCTTCTGTGCTACTTTACCGTGATACGTTATGTTGTTCGCGTCGCAGTCTCTAAGCAGAGTGACTTATGGTGTCTCCAAGTCGCCTACCTTTCTATCGACCCATACTGGAGACCTTGCAATCGCGAGCCTAGAATGTGTAATGGAGACGTCATAGTCGCTTCCCCTCCACCGATCGGAGCTTGTCCTGCTCCCAGATCGCATTGGTGACCGGCCCAGCTCAGGGCGACATCAGCGCTTACGTTGAGAACCCCGAGTTTTTCCTGGAAAATTTTTACGTGGATGGCCTGAACACAACAGATGCGTGTTGCGATCAACCATTTTCAAGTAAGAACATCTTCGATATATGCCATATGTATGTTGTGATCGACCGTTTTCAAGTAACAGTGTCGTTGACCATAATGATGATGGCAGTGGATGAGATTTCAGAGTTAATGGGTCAGTAAGACGTCAAACGGCGCCAACGGCTCGTGCAAATGAAAGGGAGTGTCAATGAATAAGACGCAATGAAAGGAATGGAGCCCACCAGGATGCCATATTTGCTCTATATGCTTAGAAAGCTGCCGCAGATTGGCGGCGCTAATAAAAATAGATTTGACACTAGCATTAGTGTTATGGAATAACTGCATTGCAGCGCTGCAGCAGGACAAAAATGTGGAAAAAGTTAACCCGTAGCGTGAGTGCAAGGGCAGCTTTAAAAACGTCGAGTTGACAAAATCAAGATTATATTTCATCTATTGGTTCTGAACAGTTATGAGATTAAGAATTTTGCCTTGTTCAGGACAAAATATTATGAAAGACTATTGTAGGACACAATCCATTGCATGTTGAATATATCACTTGATGGAAATCAAAGTGGTGTTAAGTGTTTTGCATCGAGACAGGCAAAGCGCAATGTACAGAAGCATGTTTAGCAAAAGCGATGTACGACGAGAGAGTGTTCCTCGGCATGCTCACCAATTTCATCCTCTACAAACAAGCCAATCGACGCGCATATCTGCGTGATCGTGGTTGTGAGAACACCTAGCCAAGTCATCAAATCCAGTGCCACCTATCCACAGCGTCCCGCCGGCTGGACGTGGATTCGAGCTTTTGGGAGCATTGCTAAACTTCGTTGATGTAGGGCGAGGATTTAGCCAGAATTTTGTCGGAATTTGTGACGGGAGGGACTGCAGGGTATGTAACGGAGCATTTTTCGGGATGGGGGGGGGGGGGGTGGGGGCAAGCCCTATTCATGGTTCGTAGGCACCGCGAACAGACTAAAGACGCCTCACAGGTAAAGTGTCTATGATCAATGGGCAATCAATGGTGGCTTTGTCTGGCGCCGAAACGGCTTTCTCAGCTGCCTGCGGTACATATCCACGCGGTTATCCGATTACCTAATCTCTAAACTATGGTTGTGTCACCGCTTATAACAGCGCATTAGGTTTTAAGCCAAAATAAGTTGACTGATCACCAGCGTACAGAATTACATTCAATAGTGTCAAAGTGACAAATTACGCTCGCTCTTGACCGGAGGGGGGGGGGGTCTAAAAACCCTTCAAAAGCTCGCTTGGCAGCGCCACTGTTTAAGACGTCCTTGTTTCCTTTTCCAACCGGTCGTGTTTGTTTAGGGAGTAGCGTTCATTTTCATTGTTGTTGAGCTGAACGAGGCCATTTGGTCGTTGCAATGCATACAGATGCATGTACAGGCCTGATTGCACCATACCTTATGCAACTAATGTTCACGTGGCGTGAGCGATCATTATTATTACTATCGTGGATGTTTGCCTGGCATTGTCTTCAGCAAAACAGCTTTTAATGAAAAGCAGCGTCTTGTTAATCATTGCACACTTCAGGACCTTTTCAATTGCGTTTGGAGTGTACTGCCGCGGTATTTCCAGCGATAGTGACTTAGCACTTTTGCCGTGGATACTTGCCAGCGTTTCCTAGGGAGCCATGCTGTATTTTGTGGTCTGTATTTTATGTTTATGATAAGAGCTTTGCTGCAATTTATTGTTTGTATTTTATGTTGATAATATATATGAGCCATGCTGTATTTTATTGTTTGTTTTTTTATGTTTGTGATATGAGCCATGCTGTATTTTGTGTTTTTGGCCTGTCAAGCATCGCCATGAACTTTTTTCAAGGCCTAGAATATGTTCTTCATATTTGTGCCCTCCTTTTGAGTCCCCATGTTTTTTTTCCTTTGGGGGAGGCGACATGTCCCTCTTTTTACCTCAAAATGATGCCCACCTGCTGCGTTTGCTTACAATGCGTTATCTTTGCAGTGCTTTGGTGAGGTAGCTGCTTTTTCATCCACATGCAGCTTAAGCCTTTATATTATATGTTTCTTCCACTTACTGCCATTCCAGCCTTCTGGACGGTGGTACACCTCCGATTACCGTGGTAGTCTAATTATGTTTTTGATGTTCTCGCATGCGTCGTTGGCAAGCAAGCATATGTGTAAATTTCTCACATATTGAATTGGCTTGTGTTCGCTCGTGGCATTCATCAGCATTCATAAGTTTAGTCTGAATAACCACTGTGACAGTATAATGTTTGACCACAAACCCAATCAGCCCTCAGATATTACGTGCAGCTTCAGAGAAGAACCGCGTTTACGATGTTCTTTTTCATAATGCCAGGAATATTCGTCAATTTAACGGGTAAGACATTAGTTTTCACCAACAAGATAAGTACACGATTTTTAACGCTTCACGAAATGTGTATACATGGTGCGCAGGTGACATGTGTGTAGCATGTTATTTTCCGCAATCCTGCCATTTCAAGCAGGCATTTTCAGACTGCAGTCAGATTCTACCATGCGCCGGAATATGTTTTGTGCAATCTATGGATTGTCAATTTTATAAATGCTTTTTCATTGGTTCAGCGGGTGCGGTGTTGATGATATGTGCAGTAACGGAGTGATGTTCCACAGCACTGATGGTGTTTATGCTGCCCTGCGAGTCGGGGGAGAAGGTCAGCCTGGGTATCAGTGCTATGCTGGCCATGATGGTTTTCCTGATGGCCATGACGGAAAACCTGCCGCCATCGCAAAGCATTCCTATCGCAGGTTGGTGTGGCATGATGGAGGCTGAACATGCTCTCCTAGGGAAGGTATTGCCGCTGAGCACGCGCCCGGCCGGGGGTCAAATGACCCCCTTTTCTTCTGAAGGCTTTTCCGGAATGGTTTCCGAACGGCGCGGCAGGGTGGCGTCACATTTTGAGTGCCTGTAGAAAATTGAGTAGTGGGTGGTTTGGCACAACAAATTAGATGTGCCTTGTAAGGTCGCTGATCGACGGCTGGCCAAAGTCAGGCCATAGATTCAGCGAAGTCAGTTTCCAGGGAATCGTTCAATCTGATGCAACAATGGAGTGTTGGACGAAGCCATACATCTCTGAGATACTTTCTTAGGCAACACAATAATGGAATGGGATAATGGAATAATGGAATTTCATTGACCTCAGCTCAGACATCTTTGTCGTTTATTCAAATGCAAAACTCAAAGCAGTCTTGTGTGATCTTGGTCAACATGACCTTTGAAAGGTCAAACTAGGTCACTGACCCCGAATGATTGTGTTTTTTTTCCTTAGAGCAGTTAGCTAGGTTCCGCGGGCACTTTGGAGACTAACCTAGATATTGACCTTGTTTGACCTCATTTGATCCAAACGTTATGACCTGGGAACCTCAAACTTTGACCTGGGTGAGTACAAGTACAGACTCTCAGCGGGGGTCAAATTGACTCTGCACCCGAGCGAAGAGTATCAAGGTGGCCACCCGGGCGCATGTTAACTGACAGCTGATTGACGTCTTTTGTCCGGAAATTGTCCTCACGAACGCCAGCTGTGAACGGTCTGTCAATTTTACTTTCCCCTGACTTGATTGTCGCATGGCCGATGGAATGGCAGGATTTGAATGACGTAATTATGGCGTCATGGATACCTTGTTGACCTTGAAATAGTCCGCACATCTTTGTGGGTGTGCAGCTCAGAAACTGGTGGGGGGGTATGGATGTCAGCCCGGCATGGGCAGATAGGTGACATCTGCCCCCCTCCCCTGTCAAATATTCGTGATAACTCAAAAACATCTCAATATATCGCGGAGAAATTTGGAGCAGCCATTAATCGATGAGTTTGACGTCATACATCAAGGTATCAACCATTAGATCATGACAGATCAAGCGTGAGTAGTGCCAGAGTAACGTCATGTTTGTCGATTTTTTGGAAAAGCGCATAGCGGTAGACAAATTAACACATAAACGGGAAACGTGATCTCATCAGTAAATGTTTCGTGGGTGATGTCGTTTTGTTGTTCCAATATTGCACCTTGAAACATTGGCATATCAAACAAGAGAAGTATTGATAACAAGTACACCCTACAGTTTTGGGTCTTTGGCTTTAAAATTACGTAAACTGTTCAGTGCATTGGCGAGGAACATTATTCACATAGGTGAGACAGTAGCACTAGCCTTATTCCTCGGAAAAAACAGGAGAATGGAGATACAGTTAAGTTGATATGTCGGCAACATGCCTTTGTCGAACCAATAGCAGAAGTGAGTAGTGAAATTGTGTTTGAAAAAATGGTGTTAAAAATGGAAGAATTGTTCCTAAAAAAGTAAACTCATTGTTGCTACTGTTTCGATAAAAGCATGTTGCCGAAATATCAACCTAACTATATCACCATTCTCCTGTTTTTTGTTGTTTTTTTTTTGGAGGAATAAAGCTTACACTACTGTCTTATCTATTAGACATTAGATTATGAAAGTAGGAAAGTCGATGTTCTAAAATACGATTTCGCTATGAAGGATGCTGCCTCTACCAAGTTTGAAGCGATTGTCTGTAACAATGGTTAAGTGATGTCTTGAAATACATCCCAGCGCATGCCGCCCGTACCCCGGGGGTCCGGGCCTATGGCAGCAAGTGGCGGGGCGGCGGAAGCCGTTTATCAGTTTTACACAAATCGACGGCCCCATGACTGGCGGTGGGGTAGGAAGGAAGGGTTTGACTATGACTGGTGGCGGCAGAAGGGTACCAGATTGCGCTGTCGGTGTAGCTGAACCGTCGGAAACAAAGCAAACATCGATCCAGCCGATTATCTGCAACCGGGTTAATTAATTTGACCTTGACCTTAGACGGCTTATGAAGGAGCTAACAAGGTGTGAAGGAGCTAACGAGGAGCTAACAAGGAGCAGCCGCTTTTCACGTGTTCGATACCCCTAATTGTGGATAAACTCTAACAATTCGCGGTAGATGGCTCAAATATGACGGAAATGAATAGATCAAAATAGACATTTAGACCGAGGTTTCAGCTCGCATTTGCACGGCACGTGACCTTGGCTCTGGGCCTGGTACGGCGTGCGTAACATTAGATACCTCATTTACGTAAGCTATATATTTCGTATAACATGAAATTAGATACATGCTCGATCAGAGCTTAATGATTTCACACCAAGAGATACGCTTCTAAATGAAATGCGTTGTGGGAGCGGTCAGCCCTGCCAAAAAAACATGTTCATAATGTGATCTTTACCTGTGGCCTAAATGCATATTCAGACTTGAATTCGTTGTGTGGTCGGAGACCTCACGCCACGGCGCCACATACGCCGTGGAAGACCGCAGCAGAGCAAAGAATGTCTCATTGCGACAAAATTCGGCGCTCAAAACATTCGGAAATTCGGTGAGTTCAACTTAGACGTCTGAAACAAAACTTTTCAGTGGAGGAGACAAATTATGGTCGCCATCATGCTTCGTGAAAAATAAGTGAAAGGTGAAGGATGCTGTTCGTGCCTTGTGCCACTTTTTTGCTGCGAGGTTCAAACCCAATTAATTGTTCAATGGATGCTTTGCAAGATTCTGTTTTCTGGTGTCATGAGCAGGGGTCCCGGAATTCATTGTATCCTATTTTATGGTAGCCACTGAAGGCGGCGTCCTCCGTTTAAACTTTTGGGGGCCTGTAGCACGGCAAACCGCTTCTGGTTGCCGAGGCATACAACTACCGTTAATCGAGCTACGCCCATTCTTTGCTGGTCAGGTGCGTGCCACCGGATGCATTGTGCATGTCTTGTCTGTTGAGACACATATCCACGCTGGCTGGGTCATTTGTCAGCTGTTTGTCGAATACGCGGTCCCCGCCAGCCGGTGCATGTGCTTCCTGTTTGTTGGCATGTTGGCATATGTGAGTCACTCCGGCGTTCGCCGGAGCGTTAGCCTCCTGTTTATCTTGATGCGTTTTTTTCCGTTTGGTTGTGGCAGGGAGGGGGCTGAAGAGAAGGCTCCTCTCCTTCGAATTTTAGGGTCCAATCGAGAAAAATTCCCGTGATGATCCTATACTATCCCCTGTAAGAAAACGATGGCATCTGACTTAAAACTGCCTTGTCTTTGGGCTGATAGGAATCACCAAGCAAAAGGTGATAAAGCAATTTAACATCTTTTGACCCGACTATGCGAGCCAGGTCGGGTTAATGAGGCATTTGAAATAACCTCCCACAATCAATAAGACAATGATCAAGGATGCAGCGCGACCGAAATGGGTTAGTACGTAACGGTACGATTAGTGTGGTGAATACGAAGACGTGGTGGAAAGTATCAATTTTTGGCGCAGCCAGCAAGGTCTCAAGGGCGTTACGGACACCGCATGGGGCAAATGGTGACAGTGGGTCAGCCCTCATCAATCCTGAATGCCGTTTGCCTCCGGATTCCCACGCTGGGGATGTGCGTGACCTGCCATACACCTGGAACACCTGGAACTGCCACAGCTGGACTGCCACCCGACAGGCCATTCCAACAATGCCGGTGTTCGTGCATTGTGAGGATATGTTGTCACGTTCGACGTCCTTGGTGATGAATGCCGGCGGTGACACGTCGGTTTGTTACTACAGGGGCAAAACGATGACACCCTCTCTACTGCCCTCTGCAGTTTCTCGCAATATGGGCAGACCCGCTTTCTGTCAGACTATCTGGTAGCTGCCTGTTCTTTCAGGTACTTACTACGGAACCTGCATCGGCATTTTAACAGCCAACATCATGGCATCCATTTTCGTCTTGAACATCCAGTACAAAGGCGTGTGGGGCTTCCCAGTGCCCAACTGGACCAGGTGAGTGACTCGACGATCAGTGGCAGATGTGCTGCAGGCACGCTTAGGCATGCTTCCCGTTTGCTATAGATGCAGACATCCCAAGAGTCCTGTTAAGGCGGTGAACTGGCAGTGCACTCGGAAGGCAGTTAACGGGAAGGCAGTTAACGGGAAGGCAGTTAACGGGAAGGCAGTTAACGGGAAGGCAGTTAACGGGAAGGCAGTTAACGGGAAGGCAGTTAACGGGAAGGCAGTTAACGGGAAGTGTGGGCGCCCCAGGAAGGGGGATCATTAAAACCGTTTTAGCGTTGCCAACGATCATGCGTCACCCCAAGATAAATGTTAAACTTCTACAAAAGGCGAGAGTGTCATGGCTACCCTGTCCCCCCCCCCCAAACCACATTCTCCACCTTAACTCCTGCCTCAGTTCCGACTTCGTGAATGTGCGGGACTTTTATTTACGGCAAGTATCATTTGAAGGTGCGCCTTGGTCACCCAAAACACACAAAAGGCAACCAATTTGATGAAACGTCACGTACCAAAAGCTTATCAAAGTAAGAGGGAGGCCTTTTATTTCAAGTATGGGTGACGATCGCTGAAGTGTATTTCAGTAATCCTGTAGATGACAATATTTTGAGCAACCTATGTGTGTGATGTAGAATATTATAGCTCCCACACTATTGATGGCGAGATTGATTCTGTCACTGTCTACAGAAAGGATAGTTGGGTGGCAAATGGATAAACAAAGGTAAACCCTGTCGCAGAAAATATACTTGTAGTGGTTAACAAGCAGTTTAATGGAGAAACAGGGTTTTTACGACAGGGGTTTCTCGGACTGCGTAATTAATCCTGGTGCTCAGCAACCCACATGTTGTGGATCCTCAATCCCGACAAGTCGGGGCATTCTTTTGCATTTGGCATTTATGAACACCCGGTTACACACTAAGAACTGTTGCGCCCCGCGTCATCGCCCGCCGCTGCCGGCTTCCCCCACCCGGCTACGTCGCCGCAAGCGGACGTGGAGCGGAGTCGGCCGGCCCGCCTACGAAGGCCCGCCTACACTCGTGCTGCCTGGCACACCATCACGTGCTGCGTATGACGTGTGACGTCATAGTCTGCCACGTGTCACGTCACCCCGCATGGCCGGCCTTCGGGCACGCCAGCGGCGAGCGCACGGGGGCACAGACACGGTAGCGCGCATGCACTGCATTTGTAACCACGGCGCACACCGACGTTACCTGTTTACTTTGACGGCACCTATCTGCACATCACGATATCCATCATCACATGAAGTCACCGGAAACTTAGCCAACTTTGGTGCATCAACCTTTCTAGGTCATGAGTTGTGTTGATGCACTACAAGTGAAACGGGAAGCTATTTCAACTGCAAACAAACCAGTCTCCCTACATTTGGTCGCTTTAATGGCACGATGGGAGGTTTTCTTTTCGGTTGAAATGCTTGCAAAGCAAGCCCCGAAAATCAATAATAAGGATTTAGTACGTTCTATTATTTTCTTAGCTGCAACTATCTGTTGGACAGTTAACATGTTTATATTTATGAGACGTTTTACCCTTTAGTTTCCAAACCTGTTAGTCACTAGTTAAAACGGGTCGCCCAACATGCTCCACTCTCGCAACATGCAGCAGAAGATGTAGCAAAGCGTGAGCTAGACAGTATTGTTTACAAAATTAATCATCGATGATATTCCTTGGAAAAACATCCCCTGGTAGGAAGAAATCTGTGAGTCATTTTGTGTTGCAAGGTGTGTTGAAATTGGTCATTTTGTGAGGCGGAGTCAATGCATATATGTGGTCAGGAGTCTTCAAATCAAACCTTTTCTGCATCTCACCAAATCTGGGCCGTTGGTATAAAGTGCCTTAGTCCCAATCCGTACCAACGCCAGTCTTTCAGTGCCTCGGTGGTCAGGTCTTGCCTTTGCGCGCTATGAGGACGCTTCCATTCTCGTGTTATTGCTTAGTGGGGCGGGGTACCCCTAAACATGGACCGCCCCTGCGCAGGTGCTGGATTGCACCATCCTAAGGATGTGGGTGTATGAATGTTGACCTTTCGGTGGTTGATTAAAATTGCTTAGCATCAAAGGACCTTTGCTATCTTTACAGCAGTCAATGTCTCCAACTTCCCAACAATAAAGTGCCAGTGAGATCGTTGAGCGACCACTTACCTGAAGTACGTTATTTTTTCTCATAAAGCTGTGAAACGTCCCGCAACTTAGCCCATGACACTTTGGGATTCAGTTTGGTAATATCTTAAGCGATAATGGCTAAATTCGAACTTCCAAAAAAATGTACTTAAGCAACATTCTAGGTGTTAACCATTCCTCTTGTCCATGCAATCCTACGGGTGTAATAAACTGAGGCCGATTTGGGTGTTTTCAGTCCACGGGTCCCCATGTTTTGGTGAAACATCAACTCTGCCACCTCACGCGGACTGCCCGGCCACCAAAACTTTCCCCATGATGTGACTTTTATGAAATCACTGTTGGTTTGTTTTACCCGCGTGCGTGTCATGGTGCACCTCAACCAAAAGAAAGCCCTGTGATTGCGATTGGCCCTTTTCGCACTCCTTGGTGATAAACTGGTCCAAAATGGGGGCGGCGGGTGCCACCAGCGATCTCATCGGTGAAATTGCTCATTTTCACCGGCAACTCCTAAACACAGCGATCCCCCGAAAATGCTTCCCTGCGAAACCAAAATGTTGGATGCATCGGCCGTCAGCTGCACTGTCTCGGGCTGCATAATGTTGGATGCATCGGCCGTCAGCCGCACTGCCTCGGGCTGCATAATGTTGGATGCATCGGCCGTCAGCTGCACTGTCTCGGGCTGCAAAACGTTGGATGCATCGGCCGTCAGCCGCACTGCCTCGGGCTGCATAATGTTGGATGCGTCGGCCGTCAGCTGCACTGTCTCGGGCTGCATAACGTTGGATGCATCGGCCGTCAGCCCCACTGCCTCGGGCTGCATAATGTTGGATGCATCGGCCGTCAGCTACACTGCCTCGGGCTGCATAATGGGCAGCGACGACGAGGGCGGAATCAAGGATGCCATCAAGGTAGAGCATTCTAACTTCGTGACGCTACGATGAGATGGGAAACTGTACAAGCTGTGATGCGCCCATGTTGCGGATATTATTATTTTCTTCAGTTTAGTGACAATTTCATATATGTCAGAAAGAAACAGCGAAATTGCTTGTTTTTTGTTTGCTTGCTTCTATGCGTACGAAGCACGCTTATGTTTTGGGAGTTCGACATGGTGTTGCCTGTCTGGTCGATTTTGCGGATCCCGTCAGTTTTCCCTAACCGCGCGGCCCCTTTCCACCCAGGGGAGGAACTGTGTCCCCTGCGACCGCCCCACAGAGAGCCTCATTTGACCGCTGCGGGTTTCTACCGCGGCGAGAGAAATGTGGATAATGGTTTGCTGCAGTAAAAGCCCTGTATATAGCCTTGGTTGGTACGTCATAAACAGTGAAGATTGAACTAGGCATGTTCTTTCAACGGGAGACCTGAACCTCTGATAATAATAAGTCGTCCGTGTCACATTCGATGTCTGTTTGGAAATGACTGGTGATAGTTTACCACGGACAAAATTGAAAGTTCACTGTCAAAAGAAACTAAGGCAAAATTTAGGGCTATCGCTTTGTTTACCCCCAAAATGTGCTACATGTGCCTAAACTAGCCTACTGAACACAACGTGTATATGTGAATTATCACGGCTACTACTTGGTCAGTTATTTGAAGCTGCCTCCCATGCAGAGAACCGAAGTTCCATTGATCGCGTTGTTGCATTCCGATTGTGGGCGGCGTAGCCATACACCCTTGTCCAAACCAACGAAGGGGTGCACGCAAACGAAGCGCATATGGGGCTGTTTTCCTCACCGGAACTCAGTTTATTCTTGGCGGACAAAACGGATCGCATTGCAGTCCGTTTCATCGCTATAATTTTATGCATTTATCCTGCATTAACTCAGGTGGGCTATGATGTTTGCCGTGAGCACCAGCAGAGTTTTCAAGAGCTTTCCGTATTCGGCTTTCCGTATTTATTTCCGTATTCAAGAGCTTTCCGTATAAGATAAAACGGCATAACCGCCTGCCAGCCTGACATCCTTTACGACTATAAAAATGCGCAATGTTTTTAGGGAGGTGGGTGGTGTGCCATGGACCGCATTAGTAGTTATGAACTGCATGGCTGCGGAACACGTTTTCATACTCGTGGCGTGAAATCGTCGCGGCTTCGATGATTAATTTTTCGGGGAATGGGCTCAGCAACTAACCCATTTTTGCCATAACATTTCTCACTCCACTTCTAACAAATGATGCTTGGCCACGCATATAGTGAATGCGCTTTACCGTTGGAGTTGATCGAATAGATTGCTTCTTATCATGGTTACTGCGAAATACTATTGACAACTTTGCCAAAGCTGTGACCGGCGCTTTTGCCCAATCAGGAGAAGCGGTTTTATACTTGACTTCTACTCGAAATGGGGGTACAAGATGCCTGCTAGAAGAGGGAATCTTACACAACTTGCGTCAGATATGATCAGCATGAGAGCATTTTATTCTCAACAGGTGCACCACTTAAGGCTGGTCGGGGACCACAGCACGTTGACAGATCAACCGGCATCGGCATGGGATAATTTTGGTGTACTGATGGCATATGTGTTGTTGGTGATAGTTTAATGATGGCATTTTTCTTCGACCTTAACATTGTCGGTGGGCCATCACGCACAACACGATTACCCACTGCTGCCATTGCTGTCTTGGTCTTCGCTGGGGTTCAGCACGGTGTTAGCTGTAAGCCCATAGTCATGTCATTTGTGACCTTGCAGGCCAGCCGCCTATGAATTTTAACGCCCGCTCGGGTAGGGGGAGTCAGATTGACCGCCCCAAATATTTTTTTTCCAGACTGGTTACCGGACGGCGTGGCGTAGCCGCGCAAAATTATGCATAGCTGTAGACAATTGAATAGCGGATCGTTTGACAAAAAAATTGGCGTATACCTTGTAAGCTCGCTGACCTATGGCAGGTCAAAGTCAGGCGATGGTTTCAGCGAAGGCAATTTCTATGGAATCCTTCAATTTGATCCAACAACGAAGTGTTAGACGAAGACATACGTCTCTGAGATGCTTTCTTAGGCAACACAACAATTAAATGAGCAAATTACATTGATATAAGGTCAGGTATGAAGGTCACACCAAGGTCAAAACCAACCTGTTTTGTTACTCTAGGGCTTGCTGTGTGCGATAGTTTCTGGCGCTCATTTCGAATTTATTGATAGAAGGAACTGCATTATACATCTTCCATGGACTTCTTAGAGGTTAGAATAGGTCATTGACCTAAATTGACCCGGGTCAACATTTTGTTTTGTTAACATACTGCCTAGCGTAATCTTTGCCGCTTAGTCAAATGCAAAAATCAAAGCAATATTGTATACTTTTGTCCACCTTGGCTTTCAAAAGGTAAAACAAAGTCACTGACCTTTCATGAGTATGTGACCTTTTGCTTAGAAACGGTTATCTAGGTTCTGGGGGCATTTAGGGGACCAACCTGGAACTTGACATTTTTGACCTATTTTGACCCAAAGGCCATGGCCTAGGAACCTAAAACTTTGACCTAAGTGAGTTTATGTACAGGTCAATACACCCTGCAAATTTGGTGTATCAAGGTTTCTTAGTTCACGAGATCTCAGGGGGTCAAATTGCCCCCCCCCCTACCCGAGCGAAGGGTATCTAGCCGGCCACCCGGGCTCGTGTTAAGGTATAACGGCTACTGAATGGTGTATGCTATTTCCACTTGTCGGTGAGATGGGTCTGTAGGCGAATGCAGAAGAAGCATGTGTCATACCAGCCGATCTGGAGTGGCCGCCTCATTCAAAGATGTATTTGATCGAACAAATTTATATCAGCCGGCTTCAGACCGAGTATGGTTCGAGCTTCATTGGCATTTTAGCTTAGCGCTCTACATCCCACCGTCGCGCTTTTACAAAAAAAAAACAGCAGCAGCGTTGGTCGGCATGTTACCAAACTTTCACAGATTATTGGGCCGGCAAAACATTCTGAAAGATGCGATAGTAGTCGCGAATGGGGGTGCCGTACAATGCTGTGCAACGCAAGGCATTGGTGGTTGCCGTCGTGAGTAATTATTGACATTCTTGTGACGCAATCGGAGTGGCCATCGACCAGTGGCCCCGTGCTGTTCTGCATGCCAGTGGAGAGGCCTGCTGATATTCGCTTCAGTTACGCATCACACTTTTTCCAAGCCGCGTGATTCCACTACCTTTTAAAACAACAGCGTGACCTTTGAACATTTCATTTTGACAAGAATGTTAGCATTTTGTGTATTACGCCTGGCTTTGGTGTCAAGAGGGCATGCCACTATTCCAACAAGTATTCCTTGTCATTGGTTTCCAGGTTTCGATCATCACGTGAGTCCATCGCGCAACGGAGTGCCGGTATTTTGTAGCACTGCACACATGACAGTCACGTTCCCGCGCGTCATGTTCCAGAGTGCTCATGTTCGACTTCTTGGCCAAGATCATGTTCATACCCGTCCCACCCCGCATCAAAGGAAGCCGAGTGTCTCCGAAAGAGCCGGCGGCGCCGACCAACGTGAGTGATCACCGACTGGTCCACGGGCCGCTGTCCGTGACGGCCAAGCGTCGCCACAGCTGGGGCTGCGCTGCCGCGCGGCGACTCCGTGACCACCGCCTCCCCATCACCGCCGACATTCCCGGGGGCGCGCTATTGTCCAGCGGCCACCGTTCCCACGCCCGAGCAGTTAATCACAGCTGGTGTCGGCTGCGGTCGTGCCAGTGACTGCGGGCGGCACTAGGTTGAGCTCAGCGCCCGAGTAGGCCACTGAAGATTCTCCGAGGCGTGGGCTCACCTCTGCCCGTTTCATTGTAGGTCATATCACAAGCAGACCAGATTTTGCTCAGCATAAGGTTACGTTCCACGACTGGGAGCGCAAGCTGCCAAAAGGACCAATGTCAACTTTACTTTCCGACTCCTTGCATGTGTTTTGCAGCTACCGCCCTGTGATCTTAAGACTGTGAAGCGAGTACAATGTCGTTTCTCCAAAAGCTGGAGAAGACTTAACTTGAGGAGTTGTGTAAACCCAACACATCCTGGGCATTTTGAACATTGTCACTTCAACGTTTTATCTTCGCTTGTGACAAAATGGACTAAACACCACGATAAGGCGGTAGTAATAGCCTTCGAAGCAAATTCAGGAGAATAGAGATATACTTGGGTTAATATTTCGGCAACATGCCTTTATTGAAACAATGGCAGAAGTGGTTTCTACCCGAGGAATAAGGCTATTACTACTGTCTTATCTATGCGAATAATGTTCCTCGCTAATGCACTGAACAACTCACATAATTTTAATACGCAACAATGTAGAGCTTCCAGTGGGTGCTCGCCCCTTATTGGGCCAGTGTTAATGCCAAAATGAAATTCATTGCAAAAATACACCGTTTGAGCCAGTGGAATATACCTCAGCTTTCTACACATTTAACTCAAAACAAATTTTGATAGCCTCAGTTCCTTGACGGAAGCCCTGGGTTGTCGAAGGTCGTGGGTCCGTGGGCCGCGCGATTGCGTCGCTCAGATAGTTAACGTCATGTATGCGTAAGCCAAAAATAAGCTGGTTGTGGGCACAAAAAGCCATGCTACACAGGCGACACGTCCCAAAACACCTTAAAATCATCATAAATTCATCATCATCGACGCCCCTCCCACAATGCCGTCGACTGAATAATTGAATGCCGTCGCCAGTCGGTTGTTTAGTGTTTGTACAGGTACGCTCACGACCCGCCTTTCAGGTCTCACAATGGGTCAATGTCTTTTAGGAGGCGTGGGGACCAGTCAATGGCAGTGCAAAGGTAAATCCATGGCGTTGCATTGTACGTTATGTCCTTGGTAGAAGTTAGCTTAGAGTCCTTGCTTCGCTTCGCATCGTGCGTCACAATGCCCGTCGATTAATGGTCTGTTCATACGGTTTTTCTACGCGAGTCGGTAGCGACTAAAAATGATGACGTCATGAGAAGGGTATGACGCGTGATGCTTATCAAACTGCTCAAAAGCGGTACTCAAACTGAGATTCAAGAAGATGTATTCGTCACAATGTAAGTCATACCTAAGGTTCACATGCTCGCTTAAAGCATCTTCAATATTTAGGTAAACAAGAAGGCTCCAATGAATGAGTCACCGGTTATCGTGTGCACGTACGGTCAATGTGGGTGGGTTTTGTGACAGGCATTCAAACATGTTGACGAAATTCTTTGCATTTCTCCTTTCTAAAAGTATTTCCGGCTTGACCAAACGGAAGGAGAGAAAGGAAAGCATGTCCTCTTAGCAAAGGTCACGGCTGACGTAAAGTATGACGTATTCAACAAAAGTATGACGTAGGCAGAGACGTGACTCAGAGCTGGGAGCTATACACGCGCGCCCGGTATACTTAAGAAAATGCCCGTATGAACAGTCCATAAAAGGCAAGAAAAGTTATCTTCTCGTCATATTCTCATTCTTTTTCAGTGTACGCAGGCGAATGTAGTTTGTCCCTGTTGAGGTGAATCCTCGTGCTTTTCCCCGTGTGAGTGTCGCATGCTCTTACCTTTGTAAAAGTAGGTTGCTTTTCATTCACGCAGTAGCGCAGTCACAGTAGTAATGCACGTGAAATTGTGCACCAGTGCCACCAGCGTTACGTTGTTGCCATGACGTAATTTTCGCCCAGAAGTGCAGGACTTCGTGGAACGGAGTATCATCGGAGGCCTGTCCATGGGAACGATTTCTAAGGAAACAGCTACTCAAGCTTCATTTGTCTTGTTGCCATGGCCATATAGTAGCTCTCGATGTCTCCTCTGGTTTAGGGCTATCTTAACAGCAGAGCCGCAAGTCGATGTACAGTAATGTACCGCAAGTTGATGACGTCATAATAGAAATACGTGCCTCCTTGTTATGGGCATTCCTTCGCGTTAGACGGGTGCGATTAGTGTCGGGGATGTAGTATCTTGTGCAGTGCAGTGGAAGGCCGTCCCAACTTCCTGCTATGCCTGCTTCCAGCGCATCAGCAGTGCCTTTACTTCATCAGCTGTCTGCGTCCATCGATTAACATATCAAGAACCCCGAGCGCTGGCAACAATGAGCCTCTCCGTGTTTTAGGAAGCCTTAATATAAATGTTAGTGCGAATTTCTTCCTTTTCCCACTTACGTGCGGCGTTCATCCGCATGAAGCATTGTACACACCATCGTCTGAACGCTCCTGAGACAGCCGACCTCATTTATTTTATTTTGTTCAAAGTACTCGTTATGCGCTTGGTAAAAAGATCGATAAAGGCATTGTTGGAACGACCAGGCTGGAGGTCGTGGTAGGATCGCAGCGCAAGCTTGGAACATTACTCGGTGGAATGAACGCAATTTGTGCCAACTTAAGTTAATTCGATGATGAGTGGCGTATGCCAGTGTCATTTGCGTGAGAGCCTCAGAAGTGTTCAGCTCGGAATAGGACACACATGAGCTCCTTGTACAGGTATTTTCCTGTTTACCCAAGCTCACAAGAGTGTGTCGAGCTTACAAGCTACAGAAGTGTGTCGACAATCAGTTATTATGGCCACCATTGGCATGTGGGGTGAACCCAGTTGTATATGTGCTCCCTTTTTAGCAGTTCCGATGAAAGCCTATCATGTGATTGTTTGGTGTCATGGTCATTGCAAGGCAAAAATAGCCCAGTTCACACCAGCACGCCTGTGGAGGTAACCGTGGCGACCGCGAACGGCGACACCTGGCAAGCTCATTTTGCGACTGTGACAAGGTTGAAAAACCCGTGTTCGCAAAGCCACTACAACTAATAAAAGCTTGCCTTTTATCACTCTTTCACGAAAAGCTACATCGTAACATTCGTATATCGCTTTTTGTTATAACTTGTCTTGCCTGCTTCCCGCCTGTGCCCGTCATGTACGTGACTGGCGACTTTTATCAGGTAAAACCAATACGCTCCAGTACCGTCCAAGATTTATTTACCAGAAAACAATCGTCAATCGTCAGTCCGCTGGATGACGGAATGCGGAACAGTGTCCGAAGGTCATCTTGATGGTTGCTGGCTTACATGCCGTATAGAGTGATATGTAGGCACATCTTACAGGAGAAGGGGAATCAACATATTGTTATGATGGGCGGGCTAGAATTAATCTTTAGTAGACTAGAGGCGTTTAACCAAAATGGGGTATATTAATCACAGGAGCATATGGGCATGAAGTCATCCAAATTTCCCACATCGCTAGAACATGTTCGGTAAGGGTACGCGGCGGCTATAATCCCCAGGAGAGGCAGCAATCGTCGGTAACAACGGCCACTAAAGATGTGTCAATATCGTTAAAAGCGATGTTGACGAGGACATGCTGACGTCGCGCAAACCGACAGCGGAGAGTAGAAGGACCGGAGTCGGAGCCAAAGGGAGCGGAGGGTGAGGAGCCAGCTACGTCGCGAATATCAACGAGAGCTGGCTTACCTTCCTCGGCGCCGCCCGGACCACCATTGACTCACTGCCGACCCTGGCCCCAGGCGTGACCTTCTCCCCGGTCTATGATTGGCCGGGTCACGTGACCACGTAGCTTTGAGAACAGGCGCGAAGATAAAGGTCCCTTACAGAAAAACGCCCGCCGCCATTGAGATCCGAGCCCAACACAGAGTGCGTACGCGTTCACAACGCAGGCGCTCTAAACAACTGTACCATTGGGACGATGCTAACGACGCCGGGACAGAGGGAATCAATCACGTGCACGATATGTTTTGGCCATGAGCCTTCTTTAGCACTGACCAATTTTAGCATGTCTGACAACGTTTGGCACCATGCCTTGTTAGCAGCAGATCCCGGCCAGTTTCCAGGAGGTCCTGTTGGCAGCAGATCTCGGCCCAGTTTCCAGTAAGCCTTGTTAGCAGCAGATCCCGGCCACTTTCCAGGAGGCCCTGTTGGCAGCAGATCCCGGCCACTTTCCAGCAAAGCTTGTTAGCAGTAGATCCCAGCCAGTTTCCAGTGGTTATTGTTGGCAGCAGATCCCGGCTAGTTTCCAGCGGGCCTTGTTGACAGTAGACGATGAGAAAGTGACGCTTCTCGATGCTGATGCTTAACTCCTTGCTTGTGGTGAGTAGCTGGGCGCAGGTTTTCCGATTGGGGTCATTGGCAAAGAGGAAATGAAGTTCCTGGAAAACACGCTGGATGATGAAGTACAGCATTGTTGCAGGTCTTCACTTTGGTTGCTTGCGTGCATGCGACATGAAAATAGAAGGTAGCTCTTATATGGGTCGGAGAGGCGGTAGACCTCTCGGCCACCTGCCGTATTTAGAGCTGCCGAAGAAGTGGGCAGGGCTTATGGCCGAAATAACGATGTTGAAATTCTCCGTCAACCGTTTTTTTATGGATTAAAGGTGACGTCCGCCCCCCGAACTCGAGGGAAACGATCGAGACATTTCTAAAGCTGCTTATAGATGGTGATTTTATGCAGGGGATAAAAAGTGTACATAGCTTGCTTACCAGGCATGCATCGTAGCTGTGGTAGCGGTTTTTCACGTAAGATGTGGCATTCAGTAATGGATTATTGGGCAGGGCC